ACGCCCTTCGAAGCGACTACCATGTTGCCCGTAAAGTAATGAAATACAGTAAGCGATAAGGAGTAGGGCAAACATTCTGAAAAAGTCAGCCCTTCTAAATCGAAACCATCAATTTCTTTTCAACCCGTGAAGGGTCGAATTGCGCACATAAGGTATATATTATCACGTAACAGTAGCAATAGCAGACGCAGCGTTAGGCTATGGTAAGCGCTCTGCTTCAGCTGTGATTAAGTTGAACCGGTGTGGGTGCAAGTCAAAACTGAGAAAAAGAATGATAGAAACCTATCCAATACTCCCACGTAATCTGAAACGACATCGCCTCCATTCAGGCAATTTTCCTTGTGCAATTTCAACGCCGACCGCCCCTAGGACGGCAATTGCAGAGTACGGGAAAGACAGCTTGTATGGATACATTTTTCGCCGTATGCAGGAAAGCATTTTTCAATCATGACGAAAAATATTTGTTGTTATCGATCAAGAGGGTCGTCGTCTTGTAACGTTTAGCACAATATTTTGCTCATTTTGCCGTTTATAGAAGGAATCCCAGTAAGCACACGATTGCGGCCCTGGGGCGGCCCTCACATATACCAACGTGATGAACGACGTATAGGCTGGTTCACGTTATGACCGTCTTATAACTATCAGGATTATAGCTTTTCTCTTTCTATCTCCCTCTCTTTTCTATTCCCGCCGCTCCTTATCTTGGGATGTAAAAAAAAAACATAAATAGGATGTAATCAGGTCGACGTGATAAAACTTACGAATTCCAAAAATCTGAAAATATGGTAGACCTTATTTTTTCCGGTTAAATACCATTAATAGATTGAATAAATCATAACCTAGCAAGCTGTTCGCTCACCTAAAATCATTTTACATACACTTCATATCAACTAGACCATCGCTTATGCGTGTCTCTAAGAGATCTAAGGTACTCAAGATGGCATTCGATTACGCAGGATCAAGCGATTTATCGGTACATAAATTTACGTAACTGAGTCTTAGATACACCATAGTCAAGTGTTTAAGCGATTACTCTCGCCTGATTTGACAGGGCTTAGTGAGGCTAAACCCACCATAATGGCAGCCATTAGCCAACTGAGAAAATTAGTGCTCGCTTATCGACGCTTTTATGGGGTGTCGCCGGAGCGCATCTGGTTGGTGTTTCTATATAAATCTAAAGACCATCCATCGTCAAGCTTGCTGACGGTACGGGCACTCTCTAGATGATCATCACGGCCGCATTATGAGCATAACATTTGGCGAAGTATTGCGGGCAGCTCTGAACAAGGATATGGGCTCGTGCATTCATAGAGACACGGGAATGTAAGTTTGGAAGGTATGAAAAAACTTACGAGTTTTATGATTAAAATTCGTTAAACACATTTACACATTTAGACCGCTCAAACAAAGTGGCTAAATAAACTATTGAGAGATTTGACCTAATCAGTGTCATCATCGTTCATATGGACATTTTAGATGAATATATGTCGCAGGTGCTGTTAAGTATCATTTGAATTGGAAGACCTCCGATCGAGGACAACGTTTTGTACGCTGTGGAACTCTTGCTCCGATGGCTGTTTCTCTGCTACCTGTGGCGGGCTAAGTTTAGAGCGGAATTTTCTAGAAGATTTTTTCATAGAGTGAAAACAAAAAACAATAAGAAAAAACACTAGATTAAGTGTGTACAAAAAAAGTTCAGCCTATGAAGGTAAGATACCTAATACTATAGGTATATCTAACTCTTTGTGGTAATATTATATGTGGTATATCAGGATGTTCGCACAATACGGGTGAAATTATACCAGCTCGAAGTTGGAACAGACGTAGAAGGATGTTCTACAGAAGAAATAATTGTTACTAAAAACCTCACATCAGGGTGTTCAGGTTAGGCGCTTGAATATCGCAAATATAAACTAGCGATTTCACTCATGATTTATCCCAATAGAGAATCCCTATCAGCTTGTTTGTCATTAGTCCTATCGCACTGTAGTGGCCTCTTGAAAGTAATTTGTTTTTGAAACCCTCTGTAATTTAATAAAAATAACTCTATAAAATTATAGAATTTTTTTGTTATTACCTTCTTTGGCTTATGAAATATAGATGGTCAATTTATTCCACTTGAACCGAACGTATTGTTTACTTGTTACCTAGGTAAGTATTTTACTAATATACATAGTATCAGCTATCAGTATGCTAGAAGCCTTATTATCCTGGGTTTAAAACTAAGTAGCCTACAACATAGTTTTTCTCCGACAGAAACACGCGTCGGTCAGATGGAAATTTTAGGTGGATATCGGGGCGGTACGTCAGAGTACATATAGGTAATTAAGTTTTATATTCTGTACTGTCGTAGAGCATTGCTGGGTGTTAACATGTCATCCGTAAACATTAATAGTGGGCTTACCAATTCCGTAATCTGCTGTACGTCCGCTTTGTAGATTTTCCGCTCTTTACGAGTATTCGCTTATACAATAAGATTAACAGAACGACTACAAACATAAATGTTGCAGGCATTTTTTAAAGAATTGTATCTGTTTTTCCATATTATTGTAAATGATTGTACATAGAAGAAGCAGCGAAGCATGGTTATTGAGACCTCGCTCCTTTTGTGGTACGTACGGATCGAGTACTGAAATTGCAAAATACAGTGACTGGATAAAGCAATCGACTGTCGATATTCGTTCATATAATTACATAAAAGCTGCGTCAAAAACAGTCAGCAATGGCTATTGAGTTGCTAAGTGCGTTCAATATTATTACGAATATATTTAAATAGAGAGGCGAGCTATGCAGCATAATGTTTAGCATTCTCTTAACATTATTTAATTATAGCAAAATCTTTCCCCAAAGAGCACCAGCACGGTGTAGCCGTGTCCATCGCGTGTCTTCTCCTCGTTCTCATCCTTCCGGTTGAAAGGTGCCAAGTCGAGCGTTCTGGCTAAAACGCCCATAGCAAAGCCAACAAAGCTTGCTCTACCACCATCTTGTCCATTGTCAGTCAATCCCATAATTCCCTTGGGCCCAGCCCTATCCCGTTTAGTTGTAGTGCGCGACGAGCCACACCTACCCCTGTCTCGCCGCATGGACCGTTAGATCCTAATACTCTGTCGGTCTCCAGTTCCCCGTAGGCCTATTTACGTTACCAATTACCCTCGGGCCCACAGAATGGTCTTCCTTGGGCTTCGGTACGAGCTCCTACAACCACTGTCTGCCATCTTTCTGCCCAAGATATTGCGGATACAACTCAGCAAAGCCGCTCGACATTCCCGTACCCTTTAGCCTCCCCTCTTAAAAGTCGTTTTACGAGTGCTGCCGCAAAAGCTTTTTCGAAAATCTCTATGAGCAAACAAAAGTCGTCTCCGAAATTCCGCCTATGTCCGTATCGGTGTTTTGCCGAAAAAGGGACGCAACTATACAGTTAGTTGTTCCAGCTCGAACGGTTGCTGTCTCAACGCTAGCCATATCCACAACGGTCATGTTGCTACACTGGCAGTAAGAACAACAACGGCAAGCGCGACTCTGCCGGACTAGCTGTGGAAAAATTATACAAAATAAAAAGCGAACAGAGCGAAGTTACGGACTGCTTCTATGTGGCCCCGAAGAAGCAGAACATTGAGAACGGTCCCCTTGCACAGCCGACCGTTCCTCCGTTCTTTGTCCCAGATCGCAGACAGAACATTGGTTTAGATGACCGGCCCGATGGATATTCGACGTTCAGAGAAGGAGTGAAACGGGAGTGAGTTACCGGAGAGATAGGATATAGAGAGCAGAAGATGGTGTGCCAGTATAAGCTAATATATTATTCTACTTATGGCGGCTGGTGAGGTGGGTGAATTTTCGAACGTGCGCGAACCAGTGGCTCGAGCAATCAGTCCGTGAGTAATCAGCCGAACAGACTGTGACAGGGACCAATGACAGGCGAATGTATTTTCGTACACAAACGTCACGTTTCGTTCATTATTCATGGATGGTATAAGCCTTGACATAATACCACTTCAACCTCATAGACAGAGACATGGTGCTACGTGACCCACAGTACCCTCCAATTTGATGCAAGAGCAACTGTCTCCCAATTCAAACCTTTAATTCGTTTTGTTCAGCGCTTATTAATATAGGTAAACGCGTGCTATTTTAATCATACTACTAAGTGCAATTCCATTAAGAGTTGATCCGAGCAAAAACCCCGAACGAAATGTTGTGTTCGAAATATATCGTTTGATTGTTGAAATTATACGTTGAGGTTGTTTCCACTTCATTATTACTAGTTCAACCTGGCTAAATAATAACTATCGGGCATCACTGCGATTTTTTCCGATCATCGCGAACCATCGTTCCACCCACTTTTTGCTACGTATCTATTGTTTGTTGTCACACTAAAATGGAACCCTCGCCTGTTTTTCTTCATACAATTCGTTATAGAAAAAAAAGTTCGTAATCAATCCTTCCATAACATAGATTACGACTTCTGTCGCATGTTAAAAGCTGATCCTGGCTTGGTTGAGAGCTGCGCTGAAGTTCGGTCATTTCATCTGAAAAGCTTCCAATCTAACAGCTTACGCTCACCGCCGTCCCGAAATCACCACCATAAAGCAAGTTGTTTAAACAAAAGCTAATGTTTGAGTGCGGACGCTAGTTCTGCCTTCACAACTGTGAAGGATTATTTTGCTTCGATAGCTCTTCGTACATTGACGTGCAGTTCCGGAAATTTCCGGATGGTTTAGGAATTGAATGAGGTAGCCTCCTGCAGAAGGTTGTATTTAATTCTATGACCTCAACGCGTTCGAGGCAGGAATAAACGCGTCACAATACAATATTTTCCGTAACAATATACTTAATCAAAGTAGCTGAATTTCCGTCGTATGCGTGTTTTTGCAAAAACGGCAAAAAATAAAACATTCACTAGTCGTAAAGTTTGTTTTTAAATTCTAAAATATAATCTTCATAAATAAATGCATGTAAAGCTAGTAATGTCAGTGATAATCACTCCGCTACTAACTTACCATCTCCACCGATCCGTAGTGTCGACGACTAAAAACTCCTCTACGTGCAGCGAGATCGGTGGCGGATGAACTGAAAGAACAAAAGAACGGGATTTGAAAAACTTGCTGTAAAATAAGCAGTAACAATCAGCATCTACCATACAATAAGCTTAACTCGTCTTCTTTTATGCACGTTTTGTTGACTGAGGTAGGGTACACTCACGCTCAGGAACTACGTAAACCAACATCCCTTTTACCCGATTTTAAGCATACTCTCCGACGATTGATGCTTCTTCCTTAGAAATATTAATTGCTGATATATTGATATGAGTAATTATTGGCTTACGCCTTTAAACGACCCTTCGAACGGTGGAAATTTCCACACTAGTCGCGTTGCTTTTGTTACCGCGAGATTGTACGATACTGGTATCGGGCTATTAGAAAAGCTTAGTTAGACAGGTCTAAGGGCCGTCAATGATGTTCATCGCGGTTCATGCCGTTAGTGCAAAGTGCCCCAACAATCTACGGCTGATGCACTTCTATGTGATAGAAGCAGACACACGCCCGGCCCTTGTAAGTGAATTGATGATACAAAGAGCTTCCTGTCGCACGAGTGGCAAAAGGCAAATTTGCCTTCTGCATACATCACGGAAAGTTTCACGACGGTTTTCACCTGAATATAGCGATCGCCAATTTGATTTCATTCTGACTATGGACGAACGTTAACAGCCATATTATAGGTATGCGATCAAATTGCTTTTAGACAGTTCGAAACTATGAACGCTATGCTCGAAACGAGTAATGGTTACAGGTTACGAGGCCTTGTTAGGCCTATTTTATTTCGATGCACGAATCTCCGTTCGTAAAAAATTGGCGTGGTCTTTCAGGTAGTTGTATTATAGCTGTGATAGTCTACATCTAGATAATATTAATTTTGGGACGATTATATTGTAAATGCGGCAGGCAGTGATGTGGAGAAGCTAATACCCATTCTCTGTGTACAAGCACTAGTGATGAGATTTCAGTAGGAAGTAAACTGTATAAATGATTTCCTTGGACGAATAGAAATGCAGTGGAAAGTTCCACTGACTTGTTCAATGTTTAGGTACGAAGAAAGGGGAAGATATCATGGAGCGTTTACCCAATGTGGCTGATCAAGTATCATCCTTAGAGGCAAAAAACGTTGAGCGCACTGAGGGTCCTTAGCGCCATTAGCTTAACTCATTGTTTAAGTCTAATTTATACGCCGTCTTCGTCTAGCCTCTCGGTCATGCACGTTCTCCAACTTTTCGCACGTACCTGTTCTTTTTCTTTCTCTTTTATCCTGACATTTTACTATGCAGCAACGAGATTTGATTAAGACGAGGCGCCCAACGTCGCTGCAGTTCCTTCAGTTGGCCCCGTGAAACACGTACCTCCTGCAACAGGCCTTCCTCGAAGTTTGAGTAACGATACGGCTTCACTGGGTTGCGGCAGTACTCTGCCCTTGCCACCGTAGCCGCCGCCGCCTGTGTCGATCCACCAAACGTGCTACCGGTATGTTTCTGATGTTCCGAAAAGCATCATACTGAGAAGCTTTTGCCCGGTCCCCGACCTTGGCAGTTGCACCCAATCGAGCACATTCGTGTGGCTCTTCATTTGAGGGAAAGTAGGGTTTAATACATGCTGTGTATGCCACTCCACCACTGCTATCAGTACTAGGAGCATGACCTGACGGCGGACTAACCATCCAACTAAGCAAAGGGCAGGTCGCTATACGCCGACGACGAAAGACTAGGCACAAGGAGGGAACGAACCAAATCCAGCCGGGGAAGAGTAGACCAGAGTACTCACTAGTCGCTCACCTCTCCCGTGCGCCTCCTTCTGCAGCCAGCTCGCCGCTCTCTTGACATGACGCGAGACACGTCGTTCGTTCGGCGATAGAACACGTTGGCGGCCGCACACGAACGTGACCTAACAATGTGTGAACGCAACTGAAAGTAGCCCTGCCCACGGAGAAGCGATTCTATCCGGTTACAGAAAACAGCCTACTGGGCGCATAGGCTGCGGTGACCACGAAATGACGTCACGCAGTTTATCATACGTTGAGAGGCCTTTGTTGTTTTTGGTCCATAAGCTTTTGTTGTAAAGTGTACACACACACGTACATACCGACGGGCCCACACGACGCGCACTGGGTGCCGTGTGTACAGAGAAGTGCAGCGAGCGTTTGGAACAGCGAATAGCTTCATTGTCTTCGCCGCTGCCAACGCTCGCAACACTTCAGCTAAAGACCTGTTGCGGTGTCGACACTGCTTAGGACGTTTACTGCATTTGCTACTACTGACGAATGCATCCGTTTTGTAGTTGCTATGATGGACAGCTGATATGTAGTTTGTCTCTTTCATTTCTAGAAGTATTATCGACGAAGGTTCAACATGCACACATTTTTAAGATCACTATCGCCGTTCAGGGGTTAATTTTCATCTGTTCAGTGCGCGTTTGGTAAGAGCTGCTACATCTGCGAAGAAAAATGCAAAAAGAAATACAAAATCAAGGAGAGCTTGCGAATAAAGAAGATATTATGGAGGGACCTGAGAGTTCTTTGGATGTATGTTTTATACGGTCGTTCTACAATGGTTACGAAGTAGGGGCCCCGACGACGACGTCGATTATAACAGTGATAACGTGTCACTCGTTCAAATCTTCTTTGTCGAAAAACTGTTTGGGAAAACAACGATACGTAGTAAATGAGATCAACCTAATCTGCCGTGCTACTTGTATTGCTTCGACTAGTCTTCTCTTTGCCCGCCTATCTAGGGTCGACAATAGCAGTGGAAAATCTAACTGAAGTCTGAAAGCTCTGTTCAGTTATAAAAATTCTCTAACGGACAGAGACGATATGTGTTTTTGAGGCCACATATATATTAAAAACAATATCTATAATTTTCTGCTCTAAATTCGAATATGACAATGTATGTGGTTCTGCCTAGCTAAGGATTAAGGTCTTCATAAAAGTATTGAGTTTTTAAATTGCTTATTTGGCCGATTTTATAAAGAACCTAGTATGTACACACATGGAATTTTATTATTTATGGATAATGAGATAAAACGGGAAGGCAACTGCATGATTCGGTCAACGCAATGGACATATTGAATTAGAATGATGGGTAAGTTGTGATACAACAGGGAAAACTATATTCAAGTACTATAAACATAAAAATATAAACAGTCTAGTTTTAAAAAAAATATCACGCGGGCAGTAGTAGACAGAAGATGGAACGACAAGAAGATAGAACCATTGAAAAAAAGGGGTCTAAGCAGGTTTGGACCTGCACTAAGCGCAATTAAGGAAAGTGTTTGATGGAGTCCGAAGCTACGCTAGGTACGGACCCTGATCAAGAGTGCGATGGATAACTGTATGAGCTTCAACGTTTATAGGTAAGAGTAGGAAGGTATTTCACATGTATGGTGCTCGACGCTACAATTGTATGTCGAGTGTGTACAGAATATATAACGAGCATGGGTGTGGTGCAATAGCAAGTTATTGCCACAGCTCTCTTAAGTGGCTCATTCTTTCGACAGAGTGAATTGATAACATGGAAATTTAGGGGCACTTACAGCAGACGGTGTTTGAGAACCTGGATCCGAGAAGCGCCGTCGATCCCAATAGAGACAATACTTATGTAAATAACTGGAAGGCGAAGATAAGGAAGAATTCGATCTCACTAGATTCATATGCAGATACCGTTCACACTTCATGAGCGTAATGCCTGATAATGAGCCTCATACGTGCTTCAGACAAACACATTTATATAGGAAAATTGAAGTGAATTAACAACGGTTAAGCAAAAGCAAGTACAAATTTAGCACTCCATCGAGTAGTTGAGGGCATAGTGTTCTTAGCGTTAGATTGTTGTCGCCAGCCTACTGATGGCTCTGGCAACGCTTGAGACCCACAAATAGCTAAGGGAACATTTTCCCAAACCCAACAGTTTGCAAACGGCTGTCAACCTGCTGTAGTATTGCAGACGACCTTCAGCAGCGTGTTTCTGCTCCAAGTATATTTAAGCCGGCAACTCTTTGATCCAAGCTGTGCTGCTCGTCCATTGTCTGCTGTATCCCGGCGTCTCCTGCAAACGTATTTAAGATTGTGGCTTTCGACGTATTTGTTGTCCAGACGGCCCTTGTCTACGGGAATAATGAAAACGGTCCACGCCGGATGCCGTCGAAGCCACCTCGTTACTTGGATACGTGATATCGCTGGATCTACCTTTGATCTCGTCGAATAGTCTGTACCGCTTCTGACCTTGTGGGCCTTGCTTTTGATGCCTGAAAGCCCTGGGGACCGAATCAGTGGAAATGGCTGGGCGGTGAAGTGTCTTTTGTTTGCTTTATGCTTAGTCCTAGGCACGTTCGGGGCAGCCACAGCAGGTTTTCTACACGTTACCCTTTTCCTGCGCTCTGCACTCGTCTGTCTGCGTTGAAAGACAAAACGGGATCTCTTTTTATTTCAAAGTGTTCAATATTATTCGTCAAATATTAAGATTATCTTAAAAAATTAAGGTAGACACAATAGAGATGTAAAGGAAATTGTAATGTAGTTTACTGCTCAAAGATGTTTATTTAACAAATATATATGTATATATATATATATATTTAGTTCCGGAAGTATTACACTTTTCGAAACGACTTTGTAAAAAAATCATATGCGTATCCTTATCTATGTAGGTAATACATGATGTAGTTGTTGCCCTATATGCTCAGCACAATTCCCTGTTACGCATATTTGTTCATGTACGTGTGAAAGTTTGTACTCGTTTGACGAAGTCTTTGCTTCATCGTACTCACTATATTTTGAGTATTACGTCCGGTATCGCCGTTAGGCGTTTCAGCAAACGGCTGGTTTCCAGTACGAAACGAAGTCTGTCTATGCCAGGGTTTACACTTAGTGTCCCTAAGATTAGTAAACAAATAAGTTACCCACTAAGCTACCACGGAGTAAACGTTTATACACCGACCGCTATTATTACCAGCTGTCGCATTATTTGCTTGTAATTGATAAAGAACGATGCCGATGGCAAGTGCTTCACTTAGAATCAGTTAGAAGAA